GGGTGTGGATGAATTGAAGCTGAAAATAAAATTCCGGTTGTATTTATTGAATTAAATTATGGTTATCTGATAATCAATAAAAATGTAAATCCATCGTCACGCATTATCGCTTTTTTCGAATCTTGCACGATTGATGGCGTGCAATTAATATCTTATTAATCAAACAGGATGTTAATTCTAAAAAAAAATAAAAATAGGTTATATAATAACTTTTGTAGCTAATATTATTTTTTAAAATGTAATTAATACTGATAAAATTTGTATCAGTTCCTTCACGACAGTTACATAACCTTAATTCGAACAATGGGATCTTTTTAGGGCGAATTTTTAATTCTGCTCATTAATATGCATCAAATGATTGTTTATAATCTTTAATCAGATTTTTTGAAAAAACAGGATACACTTCCTATGAATAAATTAATACAATTTAATTACAGGTTAGAAATCTGATTTTCCAACAATGTATTTATGGAGAAACTTATAATTAAATATGCAAACAATAGATTAATCAAATTAATATAAATAGCCGCGAAAAAAATGATAATTCATACCTTCAAAAAAACACCGAAAAAATGGATCTCAAATACTTGGGAATTTTCGTTGCCATTTTGGTGGTTGACTCATCAGCATCTGAAGTAGATGTAAGTAATATTTATTATAATAATTATACAGCTTAAATAAATGATAGTTAGCCGAACTAAAAAGTATAAAATAATTTTCAATGAGCTTGAAATAAAATTAGAGTGATTAATAAATAAATTTATTTTATTGTAAAAAAGCCGTGGGGTGCTTACTAATATCAACTGAAATTTTCAGCCAACAATGGTGATAAAATATAAGAAACTCGAAGCAACTACTATTGACAATCCTTACTTTGGAGAGGTAACAACTGAAATCTCAGATTCTAGATTGTTAGGATCTGCAAAATTTGCATTTAAAAAATCTCTTCCTGAAGAGGCCGAGGTAATTTTACTACATTATAACCTCTAAAATAAATTTATATAATTAATTTACTAATTTTTTAAATAGGTATCACTAACTGTTGAGTTGAAAGGAGAACAAGTCGCAGATTTCCAAGATTTTGTATGTGAATTGGTGAAAAACGAAATTTATGGTAAAGATATGCTCAACCATGGATTGCCTAAGGATAAATTCCCTAAAGAGTGTCCTATCGCTCCGGTAAGGTCGCATTCACATTTTTAATTTTCTTTTAAATTAAATTCATTTATTTCTTCAGGGCGATTATGAAATAAGCAAGTATCCGATTCCGAAAGAAAAATTTCCTTCAGGCATGCCACCTGGTGACTACGATGCAAAAATGACTTTTGGCGTACCCGACCAAGAGCCGTGGGTGGTAATAAAAGCCGTAATGGAAGTCTCTCATAATGCTCCTGGAGCACCAGCTCCTGGACTAAGACGTTAAATTAATATCAGATATATTCTTCTTTTTCGTCCATTTTAAAGATTTATTTTTATTTAATATTGTTCTATGTTTGTAGTGAGTAGAAATGCTTCAGTAGATAAATAAAAAGTAGTGCTGCAATTAAATTAATCCTTGTTTACTACTTAGATGATATACATCTTGAGAAAACATAACCTACATCCTTAATTCTATCATTTTTAATTCTTTTCAATCAATATTTTTAAACAGGAATTATTATACTTATATAATTTGCATAGAGCGAATTTTTTTAATTTTTTTTTTTCAATCAATATTTTTAAACAGGGCACAGAAAAAATTTTTAATTGTTTTTAAAATTAAATTACTAATTTATTTTTTTTAATTACAGAACAAATATTTATTAATTATAATTTATAATTAATTTTACACAAGTCCAAAAAATACATTCATTTAATTACTTATATCTACAAATTACTAACAAAATCAAAACCCATACATAAAATTAAGAAGTTTCATGAAGATAACATAACCTCATCAACATCCAATTCCACCCAATCCAGGTAATTTATGACTTAATGACCCTTCTAAATGAATATTAACATACGGATCTTTTCCAGGTTCATATATATAGAGATCAGAGACAACTTCACCATCTGGGATTCCCGGAGGTATATCTGTATTCTCAATCGTGTACCTGCTTATTTCAAAGTTGGCATTCTGTAAAAATTCAAATTAATATTACTCTAAAAAAAAAAAAAAAAATTAAATTGAATCAAGAAACAAATTCATGACATTAAAGTTAGCACTTTCCAATTTTTCAAATTTATTTAAAAAAAAAAATTTTTTTTTAAATTGCAATTTTTATTTTTTTTTTAATTTCAAGAATTTTAAAGATAAAAAATTTTCCTATTTATTAAAATAGATGGTTGATTGAAGTTAGCTAAGTATCGAAATAACTCGAAAATATGGACCTTGATTCTTTATTGGTTCAGGATTAAAGCGCGCGCAATTTGAATTCTTAGTTTTTACTAAAATCAAGAAAATAAAGTTGTTATTCAAAATTATTTACTTGATTAAAGTGAATTTTAACGACGTTCTTTATCTATCAGGTTAGTTTCCAGTCCAAAAATTAAATATAAATTATTAATTATTACATTAATAAGATAATTAGTTTAATTGGCTTAATTAATTTTCATTATAATTTATTATTACGATAGATTACCATTATATTATCCGGTAAATCCTTTTTAACAGGCGTTTTAATACTGATTGTATCAGAGCTGTGTATCGGAGCAGATACATTATCAAAGTATGGATTACTTACAGTGTTAACTGTAATAACGTTTACTTTAAATTGGGCTGTAGGCTGAAAAAATTTTCCCGAGTATTAAGAACAATATTTGTTAACAAACTTGGTGAATACTTACATCGTGGCAAGAAACAAACCCGATTGACAAAATGGCCGCTAGTGGATTTAACTTAAGCGCCATCTTGCACTTCTTGAAGAACTGTACCAAAGCACATTTTTTTCGCTTAATTTATACCTTTGTTCTTAACTTCAATTGATCTGATTATTATGTAAATTTTTAGACAATGATTAATATCTTGATTCATATCGGCTGTAGTTTTTATCAGTGAATTTTTTAAACAGGATGTTATATATCTCTGCGTGCCAAGGCTCTCCGGTAAGATCACGGATTATTAATTTATTTATTTAAATTTATTCATATTTTTAGAAAGATTATGAAATAAGAATATCAGATGTCAAAAAGCGCACGCGCCATATCTGGTGAAGAATCTATTAAAGAGATCCACGCGACGAAGTAGTCAAATTTTTAAAACTTCCTGAAAATTTGTAAATTCAATCTACGTAGCCTAATAATTAATAAAAAAATTAAAAAACAGTACGTTGCCGGGATATTTAATTTTTTTTTATCACTTGTTAGTTAAAAATCGACTTAAAAAATAATTATTCAAGTTTTTCTTGTATAAAATTTTTTTATAAAAGGCTAATTTATTAGAAATTATTAAAAAAAGAGATTGTCGAGAGTACTCGACAAAATGGCGGCTGCAATTCCCGCGGCACAAAATGGCGGCTAATAACAGGCGCGGCAAATTTAAAAATGTAGAGAATTTATTTTAATAAGTTACTTAAGGA